AGTTGGGCTTGTTCAGCCTGGAGAAGAGAAGGCTGCGGGGAGACCTGATTGCAGCCTTTCAGTACTTAAAGGGAGCCTATAGGAAAGATGGGGACAATCTATTTAGCAGAGACAGCAGTGACAGGACGAGGGATAATGGTTTTAAACTAAAACAAGGTAGGTTTAGGCTGGATATAAAGAAGAAATTCTTTACAATGAGGGTGGTGAAACACTGGAACGGGTTGCCCAGAGCGGTAGTGGAGGCCCCATGCCTGGAAACATTCAAGACCAGGTTGGACAGGGCTCTGAGCAACCTGATCTAGTTAGCAATGTCCCTGCTCGCTGCGGGGGGGTTAGACTAGATGACCTCTAGGGGTCCCTTCCAACCCAAAACTTTCTATGATTCTATGATTCTACAGGCATTTAAGAAAATAAAACCTCACTATAATGGGCTGATAATGTGAAGAACTGTGTAAAAATTAATAGCAGAAGGAGAAATTATTACGATGATCAAGTGAAGGTCTGTCAGTGTTTACTACGATGACTCTGGAAACAGGTTAGAGAAGTAAGGAGGTACAGAGCATTACAGAAAACCTGCCTTCAGCAGCAAGCATGGCAGTAGAAGTCTGCATTGTCGATAGAAAATTATATAGAGGAACAGAAGGCAAAGCAGTGCTTGTGTTCAGGGGTTCCCCGAAGCACATGGGAACAAAACCGTAGTGAGATCTGAAAACAGCACCCATTCTGAAAAACCTCACTCTGACCAATTCCTTAGCTTTCACAAAACTGTTTTCATTTGTTTAGGAGTTATTCCAGGTAAAGGGGGATGCATTTAGTAAATTAGCATCTTTAAGTAAGTTCCTAAAACATACACTTACTTGGCAATGGAAAGTACTGGTCTTAAAAAATCAGTGTCATCCAGTAATCTCTAAGACCTTGACAGCTGCCTGAATGCAGCATTGCCATTGTCTGGGGAAATAATGGAAAAAATGTGGGGAGGCTTAGAGGAAATCGTAGATTACAAAGAGGGGGCAGTTTACAGGGAAAGGTGTCATTTCAATCCTGCTGCACCAAATGGAAAGTGCTTTCCATCTCATTTTTGAAGTTGCAAGGGACAAACGACCTGTGTTCTCCAGCTCTGCTGTGCACTTGCTCAACAACCGTGAAGTGATGTCCTAGGCCAGAGGCAAAGAGCGTCAGCCATGGGATGATGCAACAGCCAACTTGCAAAACGCTGACTCCAGCCAGCACCTACGGACCATTGCGTAGGACGGAGGAAGTGCTCCACAGCACAATCCTGTTGCAAATAGTTGCTGCAGAGTTCTTGAACGAATGAGAGGAGGAAGGTGACACTACATCTGTATATACCATTAGTTACACAGCTAGTATGATATGATGCTGCTTTTAAAGGGATGTTGGAAAGCCTGGAAGATTCAGCAAACAGCAACAAGAATGATTCATGGTATGGAAAAACCGGACTTGCAGAGAGCAGTAACAGAAGATCATTCCATTAAGCTTACCAAATACAAGTTTAAAGGTGACTTAGGTTTTGGCTGTAATTACCAATACAAGGACAGCTTATCTAGTATTTCAGCACTTTCTAATGTAGTTGTCATCATACAAAAACCACTCCATTGCAAGACCTAACACTTTGCTGAAGTGGTGCAGAGCGTCCTGACTAGACTTCGTGCTGAGAGAAGGGCCCATCTTAAGTGTGCTTGTCATAAAATTTGTTGACACCCTCAGTAATAGAAGAGACATAATAATGACTTAGGAAACTTCCCAGACATTTCTTAAAGGAGTCCAGCACTAATATTCCTCAAGGTCTATCTGCTAAGAGATGAGAAAGACATCTGCAACTGCATTCATCGGCTCTGAAAGCACCAAATTCAGGGAGCAGTTCCTTTCAGAAGCGAGCTGCTGTCACACTGTGTGATACGAGCGCACAGCTAACTAAAGGCACCTTTACTGATTTTGAAGAATCAGTCTGAAAGGTGAGTTTTCTAGTTCTAGAGCTATTTTTATCTTCTAAATCTCAGGATATGCTTGATTCCGCAGAGCTGCTGGTAGCAGGAGACAGCATTACACGTTTTGCCACTTGAGGAGTAATCTCTGTCCTGTGTGTACTCCCCTACCATGCTAGTCAAAACAGATCAAGTGGTTGGGGTTTTTCCCTCTTTAAGTAATTATACAAAGACACTCTACCAGAACCCTCTGACAGCAATTACTTTAGTCTGAAACTGTTAGGAAACAGAAAATCTCGACATTCAGTTAATTTCTGTGTTTAATATATGTGACGTATGTCCAACAGAATAATTCATTGTGATGTAAAAAATATATTCTAGGTACTTCTGAGTACAGCGTAAGCTCCCTTGTTTTACCAGGTTTAACATTACATTAGATGCTTTCTCATTCCTGCATGGGTGCACTGTTCAGGGTATGTGGGCTTTAATCAGTATAAACTTCGAGGAAGGGGTGGAGATCCCACAACAAAAAATGTCCACAATTAAGGGGTAATTACAGAACAATTATGCTACCTTCAAACAGCTGGAAAGCTTTGGCTGGCTTGAAATAACTTTTCTCCCACAACCAGCAGTTCTCCCAGGCTGTTCAGCACTCACCACTCTGTTGCTGCTTAGCCTCCCACCCACCCACTGCTCCCCCTTGGCAAAATATCAGAAAGCCTACTTTGGTATTTCTTAAACCACAGAAGCTCTGGACTGCAGAACGAGCTGCAACAGAGGTCCAGGCATGGCTACAAATGTCACGCTTCAGAGCGCTGCAAAGCACTCCCCGCAATGGCCACGCATTTTCCTGCAGATCAGGGTTGCCGGAGTGGTTTGAGGGTTGGACTAGATGACCCACAGAGGTCCCTTCCAACCCCTACCATTCTGTGATTCTCTGATTCTGTGGTGGCCCAAGGAGAGCAAGAGCTGCAGCTTCCTTCTCTCCCGTCTGGCGTGGGCACAATGAGGAAGTATCTGTGGGTGCCAAATTAAAGAAGAGGACATACAAAGAGATAAGCAGCCGTGCAAGGGTGAAGCCATTTCGGAAGCGATGGTGGTAATTCAAGAAGTCTTTAGTATTTGCTTCAGGCTTCACTTCCCAGACCTTTATTCTTCTAAGCAAAGTTTATTCTTTCACATGATGGACTCTGTTAACCATACACGCACAAACTTCTTGTATAACTAACCTGAACCTTCGACTTTAAATGCTCTGCTGGGTCCCTTGCAAGCCCCCTTTCTCTTGAGGCAGAAGGTACATTACACTCAGTAATGGAGCAGAACAACAACAGTGTAGAAGATTTCTCCTTGAATGTCTTTTCTGTCACTCCTTATCAGCCAAACAGATCCGATGTCCTGGTGTCAGATGGGGATAAAGCTGGCACCACTTTGCTCTTCTCAGGTGTGTTTTTGGGACTGGTGGGGATCACTTTCACTGTGATGGGGTGGATAAAGTATGATGGCGTTACTCACTTGGAGTGGACTCAGTTACTAGGGCCTATTCTGCTGTCTGTCGGGGTGACTTTTATTCTGATTGCTGTTTGTAAATTTAACATGCTTACGTGCAAGCCCTGTAAAGAAAGAGAGGAAAATACCTCAGACCTCGACCAGACTGCGAGTGGACAGTCCTTTGTCTTCACCGGCATTAACCAGCCTATAACTTTCCACGGTGCCACAGTGGTACAGTACATCCCTCCGCCGTACCCAGCCCAGGAAGGTGTTGCTGTGAGTCCTGGCTACCTTCACCCAGTGCTCGGCTGCTGCGGTGCTGCTTCCTCCAGCGCCCCACCGATTCCCACCCCAGGCTTGGCTCACTTCTGCCCTGTCTACCCCCTGGATAACCCAGCTTTTACCGGAGACGAGATCTACACTATCTACCCTGCAGAGAATACCAGGAATCAGAGGTACATCTTCTGAAATGTGTTTGGGCGCAGGCTTCTGAGTATTTTAAGTGCTGTGTATGGTTTCAAAGGAAACAAGAGCTAGTGCAGGGTGTTATCCTTCTTCAGACATTTTTTTTTTCTTTATTAGGAGTTTTTCTTGAGTAAAGACTATGGAGGCATACTTTTCCTGAAAGCATTTTTATCCAAATTAAATTCACTTATGAATCCCTTTCAATTTTCACTCTACTAAATCTCTTGTTATTTTTGAAGATATGAGTATACATACTTCTGCCCATGGGGTTTTTTTAATGCTTATCTTACTGCCTTTAGACTGTTGAGCAGAATGTTATTGTATGTACAGCCAGAGGCTTCCACTCAAACACAATCACAACACCCGAGTCAGCACACAAACAGCATTTTTACAACAATGCAAGAATCAGTTTGGTACCAGATACTCTGCCTCCTGATTATGCCTGGTCACAACATACTCCTCTCCCGCTGTAGCATCCTTCCAGCCCTTACTCGTTTCCTAGTTTGAGGGAATAAGCAAGATCACTGATATTACAGAGCAGTATGAAATTGCTTTAATCGGACACAAAATAATTTTATATGGTTCTTTCCTATAAGGAAAAATATTGTAATGATAGGAATTACTCAGAATTACATCCTTCCTAGAACACAAGTCACTTTTGGTTCATTTATCAAAGTGTTTGAAAACCTGCTGACTGACCCATTGTCCTCAGCAGCATGTGTGACAGGCATAGGCAGCATGAAAACAAGGGTCACCTCCTGACACTTTTATACGGCACAAAAAGAATACAGCAAACAGTTGCATCGCAGTAAAACTTCATCTCATAGCATCTTCTCAAGCAGACAGGAAGCACTGTGCCCAGATAGGGCTTACAGGATGGAGCACTGAGGTTACCTGCGTGATTTGTGTTTGCTAAATTCTTTTTCCTCCTGCTCCTCTTCCTATTTTCAGGTCAGAGGACAGTCCTGATGAGCCAGAAGAACTGCTGGAAGACTACGCCTATGATGACTTGTCACCTCCACGTTATGAGGAAATATACCCACTGTCTTCATAAAATAACCGTGGACAACAGATGACAATTCTAAGAGACATCAGCTTTCTAATCTCCAAGAATATTTTCTTTAAACACTTGCACGATAAGCAAGTGTGAGCAAGACCTTGGTACTGATACACAGTTCAGTATCACTGAAGATATTTAACCAATCCCTTCTTTTTCTCCCTCAAAATTCATTAGCCTTTGCTATGCAGTTTAATAGCAGAGCTATTAATTACTTAGTAGCAAAGCTACCAGTAGTAAAGCTATTAAACTCAAGGATCTAAATCCATATTAGGGTTCCCCAGCAAGAAGCTGGATTTTCAGACTTGCTGAAACTAGTGTGAACTGTGAATGCGTAAGGTGTTTGTGGAAGGTCGTGATTGCTCCTAGACATTCAGCATCATTAGAAAATGCTTGATTTATTCTTTATATATTTTACCTCTTGATTGCTTGGGAAACTTCAAAAGTGCTCTGGTGTCTGATCCAAGAAAGTGCCTATAACGTCTTAGTTCTGTCTGATTCCTTAGATTAGCGCATTCGTTAATAAGTCCAGTCTACAGATTACACTTCCGCTGCTTGGTTCACCTGTACAACCCAGCCACGTAGCCGTTTTTGGAGCACCCTTCTTGAACAAGGTCATCCCAGAACAGAGCACATACAAGTAGCGAAGTCTGACCTTTTTTTACAAAGAATTCTAGGAGATCTTGCATGCATCAAATTCAGTTCCCCACCTGTCGGGATGCACTGTTTCCCACCAGGAGTCCTAAGAACTACTATGGTAATGTCTCTGGAGAAAATGGCACCTTTCTGAAGCCTTAACAGAGGTGTGTGGTCCTATCAGTTTTGAAAGCTTTAACAATCATAGCTTCTCGCTGCACCCTCACTCTATGGAAGAGCTGTGGTGGAACCCCTTCTGAGGGCCCTTCTCGTCTGAATGTGCATCCTAGACACAAAGCTCAGGCTGTAGGTTCCCCCAGAGCATCCAGGCAACTATGGGCTGCAGTGAATTTTCTTGTTCAAGTTCAGCTTTCAAGATCAACATGGTTCCAGGCATTGTATCCACAAATGGATTTACAGACTTGTCTAACAAAGGATGAGGTGCCTAAGCTCCGAAATCTTGCAATCCAGAATGGAGGTCCCCAAAAGCTTGCTCAGGAGCTGCCTAAACCCCAGAGCAATGAGAATGCCACGAGTCCTTTTATTTTTATTTTGTATTTCCACATATGCTTCAAGTTCTGCTTTAGACTGTGCCCTAGAAGTGCCCTGACACAGCTGGACAAGCCAGTATCTCCCCATGCAGGATCCCATCAGTTTTTCCTATCTCACTCAAAGTGCTCAAACCAAAAGCTGTTTTCAGCCCCCGTGTGCTGGAGCAGGCACCGTGCAGAACGATCTAGAGGGCAATGGTCACCATCCAAAGTAACTGCGTGGTGTGGTACTGGTTTTGCTGGCGGCTTGGCTCCTGGCTTGGAATAGCATGGCTAAAAGCAGATGTCTATTGCAGAATGCATGAACTTTCTCCCACTTGCCAACACAGCTGTCTCAGCTCCTGCCAGTTGACATCGATCTGTGATTGATCTTGTTCCTGAGGGCTGCAGAAGCCTGGTGAGTGTGGGCAGCCAGTACATACCCGGCAGCTGGAAGTCACTGAGTGTCCATGCAGCCTTGCTAGCACTCAGGAGAAGTAGCTCTGAATGGAGAGGTCCATTCAGAACATTGTCCACTTGCATGGAGCTGCAGGTGCACACCGACCTGCCTGTCCTGTATACTTAGAGGGTGCCAAGAAATAAACCATTTTTGGAGGGGCACAAGATATCCACTGTGCTCCACAGTGATGTACATGGCACTGACAGAGGTCGTGTTTGGGACACAACATTTAAACCAGCTCAAAGCTGGATTAGCAAATGCAGCAGCAGCTACCGGACAGTGACTACAAACTATTGTGCGAGGCTTTTCTCGCTAGAGAAATATGGGGCATGCTGATTTTCAGCAGCAACGGCGTGGTGTTCTCCTGTATAGCTGGAGAAGGGCAGGCACTCTGTATTCAGCGTGATCTCTATGGGATTGAGTGAGAGAACAGAAGGTCTAAAAATAAATGCGAGTTTCTCTTATGGAAAGCTCTTGCTCCTCTTCCAGAATTTACACGAAGGTGAACTCATCCTCCCTCCACAGCAGGAAACTGGAAGGTGCCGAATTCCCTGTTAGTTCCACATGGACAGATCCCTGCACTTAGCACATAGATCTGCTGACGCCAGCAAGCACTGCAGGAGCGCAGAGGTCAGGCTTGATGGATCCAATTGCAGGACCAGGGTCAAAATTTCTACCCGATCACCCTCCCCCACAACAAGAAAATTCCTTCAGTCAGCAACCACAGACTTTGCTGCTGTTCTTTTTTTTCTTTTTTTCCAAATACATGTCGTAAGCATGTTTCATGGGGATATCATAGATTTATTTGTATGACATCATTAAATCCTACTGTCAGACTAAATATAAGAAATCCAGAAGGTTGCACTGTGGACTCCATATTGGTTTTAAAGTTTACTTCTGTAGTTCATTGGGAGATCCCTGCGTTTCTTTTTAGAGAGAAGGCTGAATAAATGCATTTTTAAAACTATGTATTAAAATGATCTTGACCGATCAGATGAGTTCTGCCTGAATTCTGTAGGAGTCTTTTCATGCTGCACAGATATTTGCGAAACTCCAGTCTGACGACATGTTCTTGCTGTACTGATTGCTAATCATTGTTTTTAAGAATAGAGCAATATTCTGTGAAGGCTTTTCTTCCTCCTCTTCCTTCCACCTCCTACTTTCATCCTTTTTTCTGTTTTAACATTTTTTTCATCTTTAGGGGTTTTTGCTTTTGTTACAGCATCCACAGTGACATGAATTCACCTCTCAGCGTTATGATCCTTTCTGCCCTACGATGAGTGAAAGAACAAACCTACTTGGCCAGGCCTTCAACCAAGGTGAACTGACACAGCCCTGTGAGATTTGCTCAGTCCGCTTTTCATTTAAACCAGTGCTCTTTAAGCAAAATTAGCTTCTCCCACACTGCCTGTAGTGCTACTGCAGACTTGCAGAACGATGCTTTATTGCAGTTAGATGTGTCTCAAATTCTAGCCATAGCGACAGATTGTTGTAAGTGTTCAACTGCGTAACACTGAGCGGCTTACTGGGATTTTTCCTAATACGACTCCGTTCGTAAGATTTTGACCATAGGCTGGTTAACTTATGAAACCGGTGGAGACGTCTGGCGGTATGAAGCTGAGCACGATCTGTTCATTGCAGTAAAAATCCTGCACAGAGCTGCTCCAAGATCGAGGGCCTGTTTCGAAACACTGAATGCCACACGCCAAACGCAGCTCCAGGGTGCGAGTTTCTTCTCAGGCAAGATCTGAATCTGAAGTCTGCTTTTTAACGCCGGTGCTGCGTCCCTGCGAGGAAGCGCAGGAATACAGGAGCCAAGGGTTTGCTCTGCTTCAGTCTTGGAGCACTCTCTCACGAAACCCCGATTTCACCAGGGGTGCTTGCTTCTGTCACTGATGCTCCCGTGCGAGTGCCCACGTACGTGCACCCAAGCAGAAAGCCCGTGCAAGCCGGTGTTCAAAAGTACCAGTGCCGAAATCCTTTAGCTGGAGGCTGGTGACAAGTGGTGTCCCCCAGGGGTCAGTACTGGGCCCAGTCTTGTTTAACTTCTTCATCAACGACCTGGATGAAGAGTTAGAAAGTACCCTCAGCAAGTTTGCTGACGACACCAAACTGGGAGGAGTGGTAGATACACCAGAAGGCTGTGCTGCC